TGTATCGTTAACTCAGCTTTTCTGTATTTTAACTTGGCTAAATTATACTATTGTTTTCTACAGAATGATGAATTTAGGAAGATTTTCTAAATCTTAATTTAAAAAAGCCTACGATATTATTGTCTTCTTCCTGAATATTTCCAACAACACGAGCATATTTAAATGATTAATACAAATTTAATATAAAAATAGAACCTAATTAGCTATCTTTTGGAACATCAACTGTCTCACTAAGCTATTTTACGCTTATTTTTACAAAATAAATCATATTTGTACTAACCAAACAAGTTTAAATGGTCACCTGATAGCTCACTTCTACCTACTAATTTTATATTTGACTTCAATACCGTTAAAAGTGCAGTTTACTTCTGTGTTTTTTTTAACCGAACAAACACAAATAGCAATTCATTAAGAGTTTCTTATTAGCTTGAAATACCTGTCAGAGTCCCTCTGAAAATCCCGCCAGGCTGTTCAAGCAATGGCAACATCCAGTGTGAAACGTTATTGTTTTTAGTCAAAATGTGCCTTAGCAACAGCATGTTTTGTGGTTAAACAAAAAAGTTAGGAATTATCTGGCGAAACCCACAGACTTTCGTTTACCGTTTATTTTATTGTCCACACAGATTTTATTATGGAATTGAGTCTTTCCAAGAATATACCTTCCTATGTGGATTTAGGTAAGACACTAGAGACATGGAATATGGATCAAAAGTTTTGTTATTTTCTTTCTTGGTGATAAATATCGGATGTGCTACTTTTAAGTAACAAACGAGAAAAGAACACCCTCTAGTGCAATCTGCAAAAACAAGCATAATTATTTAGCTGGCCAGCCTCCTAAACCTGCTAATAGAAACTAATTCGTTTTGTTTGCTCTGAACTTTTACATCTAACCCGATTAATACAGCTTTCTTGAAGGTAGTATTTTCCTATCTCTTGCCAAGTTGTTAGTTTTTAAGATATAGTTGTTCTTACAATAAAAGTGGAAGGAAAGTGTCAAGTTCTTATCTTTGAGAGTTCTCTATTGTGTTTGTTCTTTGCTTAGTATCTAAAGTAAAATTACACAAACAAGGCAGCGAAAAGTGTAAAATAAATCCCAGTGGACTAAATTCTGCTGTCGGTGTAAATGTGAAGTCATTGCAAAGACTTCAGTGAGGTAAATCCAGATTTACACCGCGGTAAAAGAGAGCAAAACTGAACACTTTGTTCCTTGGTTTCTAAACTTAAATTCAACTTTTATTTTGTTTTTAGGGAGGTTTCTGTTTGCTTGTTTGTGTTTAAGAATCCACACAGAGGCTAATGGTCTCTCTGAATCTGTATTTTAAAACAGGAAATATCATGGCTCTCCAGAATTTCAGTGTTGTTCTGAGAACGTTAAAGAGCACAGTGCATTAGAAGAATATTTCAACCTTTCAGGAAATGTTCTGTTTAAAGGAAATGTGTTTCCCCCATCAAAACACAGCCAGCAATTAAAAGGCTGCTCGAATGAAACAAGGTGGGGGGAAAAATAAAAGGAAACAGAATATCGAATGCTTCCAATTACAGGCTCTTTTCTGCTCAAACTACAGGTTTTAGTTCCTTAAAAACTAAAAAAAAGTTCCTAACCAACGATAGACACTTGGTCCTTGGGCCTTTGATTATACTGGATCAGAGGCATCTTTTAAAGTCCACACAAAGACACGCATTTTAGTTGTAATGATGCACTGAGAAACATGAGCAGGCTGGCTCACAAATTCCTGTATCCCTTCCTCATTTAATTAATCAGAAAAGCATTTTTATTCTCTGAGGAGAGAAGGCCAAGAAGCTGTATTATATTTTCCCACCCAAAAATTACTTCTAAATTAGACATTTATACCTGTCAATTGTAGCTCCCCCCAGGTCAGACTGGGAACTGTTTGTGTTAAATACAAGGCTGAGGTGAGGCCCTACAAATAGCAAATCAGGATTTTCTTAATGCACAATGCAAGTCTGTGGGCTGCAGGGGTCTTGACAGACACATAAAGGTTCTAGTTCCTCATTCTGGTTTGAGCTTGAGATTAAGCACAGTCTCAGATGGACTGGAGGTACTTTGGTGAGACAGTTGTCGTGGCACACAACCAGATGCTTTTTGGGGGAGCGGGAGAAAGGAGAATCCCTGTCTTTCCAACTGTAGTGATAGGAAAAACACTTTTCCAGGCAGCAAGTTGCTGTGTTTCAAAAAAGCCTGGGGGTATCGTTTGTACCAGCAGAAAAATTAAGTCATCATCATTTAATCCCACTTTTTTTGTAAACTCTCTCAAGGTGAAATTCAGTGCGCGGCTTTACTATAAAAGTCACATCAATCTGTTCAGACAGTATATATTCAGAATTCTGCATTCACAAGGCAATCTCTATACCTTTTCCTATTACAGTCCTGCATATATGTATATGTGACATGGATGAAAGTGATACGGGGTCTGTTTACCATGGCTGCATGTGCCTAACCTTTTTAATATTGGGAGGGACTGTTTAGTACAAGTGCAGAGAGAAGGTAGGTGGTCCCCGCGCATTTATTTAACTAAACTGGGTTTTCTAGTTTGAACTTATCCACTTGTGAGGCTTAGAGCTGGAATGTCACTTGAATAAATAGATTGCCCGGAGGCAGTTCTACAGACAAAACTCTCTGAGCAAATTCCATTTTTCCCACCTGGGTTTTAATTGGGAAAAAATGGGCTAATGCCAGAACCCAACAGTGGGACAAATTCACTGAAGCCAGGGAAGAATCTGGGGTCGTCTCATTTAAACAACTAAAATTATGGGTCTCAGAGCGGGAGCCGTGTCTGTGTCTGTGAAAACAAAGAGGAGTCTCGTGGCATCCTAAGGACTAACAGATTGATTTGGGAATAAACTTTCGTGGGTCAAAACCACCAATGGGTTTTACCCACAAAAGCTGATGCCCAAATAAGGTGCACGGGACTTCTGGGGGTTGGTTTTCAAAATTATTAATAATAATAATTTATTATTATTATTATAGTTTGGATAGGTAACAGGATGCTTTCAGCTGATGGAAGGGCCTCAACAGACAAACCGATCGGAACGCTCAGGGCACAAGGCAAATGCTGAGGGTTTCACTCCCTCCCCTCTGCCCCAGGTAGATGTAGGGCGCATCCCTTCTGCCTAGGAAACTGGGAAGCGTGTGGTGCCGAATGGTTCTCAGACAGGGCAGCATTAGGACCGCCTTGCTGCAGGGAGAGGATGGGCCATAGGGCTGCTTATAGGGCTGCTTACGTTTCGCTCGTCCCAAGGGGAAAGTTCTTCCCTTGTTGCACAGAGGGGACATGTGGCTGGAGCCCGCGTAATTTTCCACCATCCTCCCCTGCGCCATTGAACGGGCGTTTTCTGCCTCCCTGCCCTCCGGATCCCCCCAACCCGCCTCCCACTTGCTGCAGGCGCCCGCTGGTCCGCCCCCTCCCAGCCTTCTAAGATGGGCGGCTGGTAACTGGTCAGAAAGCACCATTCGCGCCTTCAAGCCAGGCCCAGGCCTGCTGCCTGGGAAGGAAAATGACCAGGGTAATTAGTTGTTTATATAGGAGCTGCTCCCGCCTGCAAACGCGGAGAGAGGGCTGCGGCCCTGGCCGGGACTTCACCGCCAACCCGCCCTCCCCTCTGCTGGGCCTGCGGGGCACTCAGTCAGCTCCCGGCGCTGGCACGAACCCGGGGGC